AGATAGGACTGGCTATGTCTTTGGAAAGTCTTAATATTGATGTGTGTTGTCTATCCGAGACCCGTATTCAAGACTCTGGTGAAGTACTACAAGTTCGCTCTCCATCTGTCACTTCAAAAAGCTTGTTTTATGTGCGGTTATCCGGGGACCCTGTGGCATCTTCGTCTGGTCTTGCTGGCGTTGGTGTCGCACTAAGCGCAAGAGCTGAGGCAGCACTAGTCGACTGGATCCCCATTAACAGTCGGTTATGTGCTGTTAGATTAGAAAGTTCCATCAAAGTGAGAAGAAATCGGCGTGAGGAACGATGTCTTTTCGTCATCTCCGCCTATGCCCCGACAGATTGCAGCCCGGATGCAATCAAGGACGAGTTCTACCATCAGCTAACTGTTCTTCTCCAGAAAGTGCGTTCGACAGATATTGTAGTACTAGCTGGAGACTTGAATGCTCAGGTCGGGCGTCTAGGCACAGAAGAGAGTCGTTTAGGTGGCCGATGGGGACTCGTTGGTCGCAGGACAGATAACGGGGAACGTCTACTGCAACTATGCACAGACCACAACCTGTTTCTGGCTAGCACTAACTTTCGGCACGGTCATCGCCGATGTGCCACCTGGCGTCCTACTTCTGCATCTCAAGCCTGGACTCAGATTGATCACATCGCGATCAGCTACCGCTGGCGTGGTTGTGTACGAGACTGCCGCTCCTTTTGGAGTACCTATCTGGAATCTGATCATGCTCTGGTCTGCGCCAATCTTACCTTACTTTTCAGTGGACAACGAAGTGACCGCCACCAAAGGATTGATGTTAGCAAGCTGGCTGCAAATTCTGTTGCTAGTAAGTACCGAACCGAGCTAGCTTCTAGGCTAGCTACCATTCCACCGAAAAGTATAGATGAGCATTAGTTGCAATTGCATGACGCCATGAAAATGGCGGGTAAAGTCTGTTGTGGGTTTGCGAATCGTCCCGCTTACAAGCACTGGGTTTCTTCTGGTTCCTTACAACTGATTGAAGCCCGTCGGTCTACTCCGGGTGACCGTGAGTTTGACCACAGACGAAGGATGTTACGTAATGAAATCGGGCAGAGCTTGCGTAAGGACCGAGAAGCCTGGTGGTCGGAGCGTGCCAGTGAGTTGGAAGCAGCAGCTGCATCTGGTAATTACCGGAAGCTCTTCCAACTCATCCGAGCCACTGGCAGCAAGAAGTTTGGTGTGAGCGAAACAATCTGCGAGGATGACGGAACGCCAATCACTAACATCCATCGATGTCTTCGACGATGGGCAGAATTCTTTGAAGGGCAGTTCAACTGGCCTGCTGCTCCAGCAACATCGGTCAGACTGTCCTGCCTTCCATGGCCGGTGACGACTGATCCACCAAATGAGGCGGAAGTCCGCAAGGAACTCCAACTCTTGAAACGTTACAAATCACCGGGCTCGGACGACTTACCTCCTGCTCTTTTTAAAGATGGTGGTGACTTTTTGACTAAGGGACTGACGACGTTGTTTACAAAGATCTGGGAACTAGAGAGTGTACCAACGTCATGGAATGAGTCGATAGTTGTCCCTATCTTTAAAAAGGGTTCACGTTGTTCCTGTAACAACTATCGGGGGATAAGTCTACTTCCGATTGCGTCCAAGCTATTGGCTTCCGTCATACTTCGTAGGTTGTTCAGGACCCGAGAAGGATTGACTCGCGAGGAGCAGGCTGGGTTTCGTTCTGGTCGAGGATGTATTGATCATATCTTCACCCTCCGCCAAGTGTTAGAACACCGCCATACTTATCAAAGGCCAACAATCGTAGTGTTTCTTGATATCAGGGCTGCCTTCGATTCGTTGGACAGAACTGTTCTCTGGGATTGTCTATTGAAGAAGGGTGTGCCTGAGAAGTTTATTAACATCCCAAAAGCCCTATACACAAACACCTCAGGCAGAGTGAGGGCATACAACCACCTTTCTCCACTATTCCATTCGAGCAGTGGGGTTAGGCAGGGTTACCCAATCTCACCATTCCTCTTCAACTTTGCCATCGATGACATTCTGGAAACAGCTCTGACGGATGTAAGTAATGGTGGTGTGGATCTGTTGCCTGGAGAAAGACTTCTCGACCTTGAGTATGCGGATGATATTGTCTTACTGTGCGAGAATGCCCAAGCTATGCAATCCGCACTTAATCAGTTGGCAATCAATGTCCGTAGGTATGGTATGTGCTTTGCACCTTCGAAGTGCAAAGTACTTCTACAAGACTGGCAGGATTCTAATCCTGTACTCACTCTGGATGGTGAGCAGATTGAAGTAGTCGAGAAGTTCGTGTATCTGGGTAGCTGCATAAGTGCTGGTGGTGGTGTGAGTGATGAGATCAATGCACGTATAGTGAAAGCCAGAGCGGCTTATGCCAATCTGGGCCATCTTTGGCGCCTTCGTGATGTTAGTCTGGCTGTAAAAGATCGGATCTACAACGCGACGGTGAGAGCAGTTTTGCTCTATGCTTGTGAAACCTGGCCTCTCCGAGTTGAGGATGTTAGACGACTCTCTGTGTTCGATCATCGTTGTCTCCGAAGGATTGCTGGCATCCAGTGGCAACACCATGTCAGTAATGCAGAGGTTCGGCATCGAGTGTTCGGTCACAGAGACGATAATGAAATTGGTGTCACCATCTTGAAACACCGACTTCGGTGGCTTGGACATGTTCTACGAATGTCGTCCCAGAGAATTCCACGTCGTGCATTATTTGCCGACTCTGGGACTGGTTGGAAAAAGCGGAGAGGTGGTCAGTATATGACATGGTGTCGTGGTATGAAAGAAAGCTGCAAAGGGCTAGCTTCTGTTGGTCCTTCACGACTCCCTGGTTGGGGTCCGAGAGACGGTGTAACGCAGTGGCTAGAGACGTTATCAGATATGGCTAAGAATAGAAGCCAGTGGCGATCGTGCTGTAACCTCTTACTTTCTTCATAAAAAGTGTTTATATCTTCCTTAACTGAAAGATCTCTTCTGATTGTACCTTTCCGTTTCCCCCACCATTGTTCTCTCTCTCCCTTTTTTTTTTTTATAATTCCCCACGTTCATTACCTTTTTTTTTCTCTTTCCTCCTTCTCTTCAAATTATCATTGTTTTGTGTGGCGCATATATATTTGGTGCCCCTCTGTACCAATATTTATGTGTTCAAATAAATAATAATAATAAATAAGCCCCAAGTAAATTTAAGTACACACAAGCACCACTGTGATTCTTCCTTAACACGAAGTGCTACGCAACATTCAGCCGTTAACAGATTTGTCTGGCGTGAAGACCGCTGTATGCAGAGTGAAACTTAGGGAGAACAATGATAGAGAACCTGAGTCAGCATTTCGTTAGGCGCACAAAATGCGCTTAAAATTAACGACGGGGACAATTGATATTCATTAACACAAGCGCGAACTTGAGACAATCTGCAAATGGAAAAATTAAAGCTTTAAATGTATTAACGACAGCTATATACTGAATATGTATATTCGCCACCACTACCAACCATTTAAATAAAAAGCATGTGGCGATTTTTTACATCCTTTTATGTGGCTTCGAGAATCAGTTAGTATGATTTAGATATTTCGCAGGCCGGGTGTGAGGGGTGATATTGAATTTCAATGTAAATTTACCCACATAACTCATACTGGAATACTCAGACCACAGATAATACCTAAACCGATGTACTAAATTGCTTTCGAACCTTATTGCTCAGACTCCAGAAGCTGATGGTCTTTCGTGGACACTAATCAGGAAACATTGTCCCTTTAGGCGTGAACTAGTTACCAGACACTTGAGGATTTGGATGACAGTTTGCCAACATTAGTACATCTACATTCGATTAAAACGGAAATAATAGCAGTTAATTCTGTTGATCTTGTTGCCGAATCAAGTAAAAATCTATCACTTGCCTTTAAAGGACTGGGTGATGAATTGAAGTGTTACCTTAATTGGATAACCCCAAATAAAACATTCACAAAACTACCTCTTACGTAATGAGATTTAGCGCTACCACTGAGTAGAGGTAATGTGAGTAATACCACGAGCAAATAATTCCGTGTTTCATAATCTAGCGGACAGTGAGGATCTAATCAATATTGCAATGGATAATCTGGTTACCAATACTTGATTACCATGATACAAAGACGAAAATGGTGAATTAAGCTCGAGGTTTGTTATATTCTGTTTTAGTAAGTCAATCACATTCACCTTGACTATTTGCATACTTCGGGATGCAAGTAAATGGTAATGAATTTACATGAAAGGTTAAAATAATCTTATCTTTGCATGAACTGTCACCACCCAGTCATACGCAGCATGGAGTGTGATACACACATTCATCGGTTCAATTCGCTAAACCCATATCAGTAGAGTGATATGGGGTTATCTAGACAAAACCCGATATTAATAGAATCCATAGCAGTAGATAAAATTAGGCATAAACAATATGGTTCGAGAAAGAATAGGTTCGTGGGAAAAAATGGATGTCGAAACTTAAGATATAGAGAAAAACAAAAGCTTAATGCATGTGCTACCGATTCTCAACCATGTCTCCCAAAGTCTCGGGTCATCGGTCACGATTGCGCAACCAAAACCAGGTAGTCCGGACGTACCAAGCCAGACAATCGTGTAACGACTAAATGCGTTATTTCTATCCTACGGGTTATTTTTTCTCTTAATATGATTAGTTATAAACTGACTCACGTACACTTTTGATATACACATATGTTTGATCTAGATCTTATTACATTAAGCCTGTAGATTATATTTATTCAGGATACATATACAAATACATTATTATTCACTTCCTGGATTTAATACATTTAGTCTACTAGTGCAGTGTGCCTTAAACACTATTTTCCCTAACGCTCTATATTTTGACCTTTATTTTTACACCGTTGACAATCGTCGTGACGTAAATGTACTCTGATCGTATATTTATGCGAAGTTACGGGATATTTACGTATTGGAGCAGATTTGCCTACGAAAGTGATTAACTCCACCTAGCAACGTTTAAGATTACAACTACGAATTAATTATTTTCCTCCCGCAAGTTTATTTATCATATATGTCCAATAACATTACTAACTTGATTTATTTTATTTGCTTTCATTAGTCACCAGTGCGAAATTCTCCCGGCATACCGTGAGCTGGTTGCATTTTTTTTTTATATAATTTTGTTTCATATTATTTGATGGCTTAGCATCACGCAACACTAATATCACATAAATTGGAAATGCATTTTCTCAAAAAAAGTAAGAATGGTTAGCAATTTAAAGTTTGCTAGTTAAGAGTAACATATTTACAAAAGTGAAGAATAAGAAAGTTATGACATAACAGATAACTCATTTTTACTCTTCAAGAGCCGGAAGCCAGAACGATGTTTGGTTAGATCCTGTAGCTAGCATTGCGAACCGGGGATTAAAAGCGAGACTATGAATAGCTGCGTTTGGTAACTGGCTAGCAGCTTCATAACCTGGTAGGCTTGCCACACGTACTCCAGTTTCCACAGACCAAATATGTACAACTCCGTCTGGCGAACCAATTAAAACAAACTGACTATCTGGTGTGAAACTGGCATGTAACGTTTGTCTGTCAGTATTTGGTATAACCTGTCAAGGTGAAAATCCTATTTAGTAGGAAACTAGTAATATAGAAATTCTGGAACAGATTATTCAAACAAAATTAAAATCTATGACATACGAGCAATAACTTCACATATCTAACTAGGAGTCAACTGATAATCTGGACTGCGATGATGAAATAATAAAAATCCAACACAACTACAGTGTACGGATTCGTGCAAAAAAAAGTATGAATCACACATCTGTTGTATGAGGGCTGATGACAATGTCTGGTTTCTAAACCCCTATAAATGAAAGCAAATTCAAAACACCAAACCTATTGTCTGAAAGTCAAGTAATTGAAATAACAAACCAGTGATAATAAATATGTAAGGAGTGAAATATACAAAGGTCGGATTAGGTGACCGTTTCATAATGACAATAAAGTTATCAGTTTCCCAGATAATGATTTAAGCTGACATTTTTTCGGTCTTAGATAGGCTTCAATAAATTAAATAAAGTCTAGTGAGTCCAATTGCTATTTAATAAAGAAGGCAAAATAGAAATTTGTATTCGATTAACAACTCGAATTAGATACGTTTTGACGAAACGAAGATTATTTAGAACAACGAATAGGTAAAACTAGATCCAATTAGTTAAGTATGCATAAAATAAAACACAAAGATGAATATTAATCAACAAGCTGTCCTCAGGAAACTATAAACTGAATGCTTAACTTTATTACCCAACAAATTCTGCCGACTATGCATAATAATCGATACATGATATTTTACTTGCTCGTGATGCTTAGTGATCAGTAACCCTGACTATCAACTACTACGTCCGCCAGGAACGATAGTTTCGAAGTTTTATGATGAGCAAGTTTTTCTTCAATAAGTTCCAAGCCTTTCACGATCTACTCAATGGAGAAGGAACTACTATGGAGAGCAACTGGAAAGAGATAAAAGAAGCAATCACTTCGACATGTCATGAGGTTCTGGGCCAAAAGAAGCACCATCACAAGGATTGGATCACGGTCGATACACTGGATAAGATTCAAGAAAGGAGGAACAAGAAAGCAGCAATCAATACCAGTCGAACAAGAGCAGAAAAAGTTAAGGCACAGGCTGAATACACAGAAGTAAACAAGCAAGTGAAAAGGAGCATCAGAACTGACAAACGTAAATATGTGGAGGATTCGGCATTGACGGCGGAAAAGGCTGCCAGAGAAGGAAACATGAGACAACTGTATGAAACAACAAAGAAACTCTCTGGAAATCACCGTAAACCAGAACGACCAATGAAAAGCAAGGAAGGCAAGATAATCACCAACATTGAAGAACAACGAAACAGATGGGTAGAACACTTCAAAGAACTCTTGAATCGACCAGCCCCACTGAACCCACCCAACATCGAAGCAGCACTCACGGACCTCCCAATTGATGTTGGCGCACCAACAATTGAAGAGATCAGCATGGCTATCAGACAAATCAAGAGTGGCAAAGCAGCAGGACTAGACAGCATTCCAGCAGAGGCACTGAAAGCAGACGTAGCGGCAACTGCAAGGATATTCCACATTCTCTTCAGAAAGATCTGGGATGAGGAACAGGTACCAAAAGACTGGAAAGAAAGACTTCTAGTCAAAATACCAAAGAAAGGCGATCTCAGCAACTTTGACAACTACAGGGGAATCACTCTTCTTTCAATACCAGGAAAAGTCTTCAACAGGGTATTGTTAAACAGGATGAAGGACTCCGTAGACGCCCAACTTCGAGACCAACAGGCAGGATTCCGTAAGGATAGATCGTGCACAGACCAAATCGCAACTCTACGGATCATTGTGGAACAGTCAGTTGAATGCAATTTATCACTCCACATCAACCTCATTAACTATGAGAAAGCATATGATAGTATGAATAGGAACAACCCTATGGAAGCTTCTTCGACACTACGGCGTGCCTCAGAAGATAGTCAATATCATACAGAATTCCTATGATGGATTAAACTGCAAAATGGTTCATGGAGGACAGTTGACAAAGTCGTTCGAAGTAAAGACCGGTGTCAGGCAAGGTTGTTCACTGTCACCCTTTCTCTTTCTCCCGGTGATCGACTGGATCATGAAGACATCAACATATGAAGGGAAGCACGGGATACAGTGGATAGCTAGGATGCAATTGGATGATCTAGACTTTGCAGATGATCTGGCTCTTCTATCGCATACACAACAACAAATGCAGGAGAAGACAACCAGTGTAGCTGCAGCCTCAGCAGCAATAGGTCTCAATATACACAAAGGGAAAAGCAAGATTCTTCGATACAACACAACATGTACCAATCCAATCATAATTGACGGAGAAGCTTTGGAAGATGTAAAAACCTTTACATATTTGGGCAGTATCATCGATGAACACGGTGGATCTGATGCAGATGTGAAGGCACGGATTGGCAAAGCAAGAGCAGCATATCTACAACTGAAGAATATCTGGAACTCAAAACAATTGTCAACCAACACCAAAGTCAGAATTTTCAATACAAATGTCAAGACAGTTCTACTGTATGGCGCGGAAACCTGGAAAACTACGAAATCCATCGTCCAAAAGATACAGGTGCTTATTAACAGTTGTCTACGCAAAATACTTCAGATCCGCTGGCCGGACACTATAAGCAACAACCTACTGTGGGAGAGAACAAATCAGATCCCAGTGGAGAAAGAAATCAGGAAGAAGCGCTGGAAGTGGATAGGACACACATTGAGGAAAGCACCGAACTGCGTCACAAGACAAGCCCTCATATGGAATCCTCAAGGTCGAAGGAGGAGAGGAAGACCAAAGAATACATTACGCCGGGAAATGGAGATAGATATGAGAAAAATGAACAAGAATTGGATGGAACTAGAAAAGAAGGCCCAGGACAGAGTGGGTTGGAGAATGCTGGTCGGCGGCCTATGCTCCATTGGGAGTAACAGGCGTAAGTAAGTAAGTTTTTCTTGTTAAAATTATGAAGAGAATGTTGACTGGTAAATTATGCGGTGATATAATGTGGTCAACTGACTGCTAATCAAGTGATTGAACTACTGGAACATCTAAGATTAACTGATATTAAACAAGTAAAACAACTGGTTCGTGGGAATTTTCCTTTAGTAAAATTATATGATAGGCATATATTAAATGAAAAGAAAACATGATTATATATCATTAAATATATGAATTGTGTGATTGGAGTTTCATAGGCTGTTGATGCGCCAACAAAATTATGGAGTATCTACAGGGCTTAAATTATTACCTATTACATCGGAGTTGCATGCTTAAAACCCACACCAGCCACTCTGATGTGTGACCGAGTAGTATAACCATTCCTCGCAAAAATGTACAGCTCATAGCTCAACGGACAAACGTAAACTATAATTATAAGCCAATTTCCCAAACCTGAAGATAGCATTCCACTCCATCTGTGAGGGCCACGTGATAAAATCTGTTTGTTAATTAAATAAGTGTTGGGAAAGCATATAGCACTGATGTGGTCTTCAACCTGCACTCTCGCAGTTACGTTAGAGCTTTATTGCGACTGATCGTTTGAAGTTACTGTGACAATCGATATTCGTTGAAATTGTTCAATCTCTTCATTTTCATCCAAATTCACGTATGTAATTCTAGAAGTAATAAGCCGTTACTCTGATATCGTACTAATCCATTATCATCCATAAGATTCCTCTATTAGCCTGGAGCACCCAAATAAAGTCCTGTTAAGCGATGATGATAAAATCCAGTGTTTAACACACCTTTTGGACTGCTGGTGCACGAATGTACGGAGTAACTGTATGTGCAGCCGAATATTACATATAAGCGCGAAGCTCCTGACTTAGTTTGAACCACGGAGAAAGAGGTAAATATCCAGGTTGATGTATGAAAAAATACTTGGGGACCTTAGCTAATGTAGCTTAAAATCAGCTTAGTATAACATAAGCTTCCTAAGCTTTTTATTCCCTATCGTAGATTCACACTTTCGTATTTTCACCATTGACAATGCCATAACTTCAATTTCCTTACTTTACGTTGATAATTTTGAGCTTTCAATCGAAATGGGGATGATGGAAAGGTGACTAGAAAGTTATAGCACTCGACTTTTAGTTGTCAGGTGCCCCCCACCTACTTCTTTTCTGGTACCAAAGTAATGTAAATAACTCTCGCACTAAACGTGTAGTTCAAGATCAAATGCAAGAACTTACACTTGATCATTAAGTTGCACAGAACTTATTAACCATGGTCTAGTAAAGTGTTGAATTAATAATAGCTTTGGGAAGATAATACTTAAGCTAATTCCTACAAGACTGCCGAAAATATCTAACCTCCAACGATCAATAATATTCTATGATTGACATGTTCAAACCTTACGACCTAAACAGTAAACCATAGTAATAGGTAAATAACTTATCACCACTCCTCGGGGTCACCTTACGAGGCCATGGTTTTATGCTTTAACTAAAACTGTAAGGACCAGTAAACGGTTGCATAATGTTGTAAAGTATAAACATTACTTTCGGTTAAGTTATGACATCATAGCCAGTACTGTTGAAACACGGCTTACAATTCACAAAATTTCATAGATAAACTGGACAAAACACAATATTACAGGTAAAATATGACCGGCTAAGATAATGCGAACTGTTTGGATTGAATCCAGTTTATATACAGTTACAAGTCTTTAAGTTGATTTATTTATTTATTTTGCTCATTACTTGATGTTAACCAGTTGCAGTAATAAGCGAAGTAAAAACTGGCATATGTGCATCAGTCCAAATTACGAAACCATGTTAGTATAGGCAGATAAAATTATCAAGACAAATCCCAGTAATAAAAGTACTAGCAGTGTTATTGTTAGCAAAAAAATTAGGCATCAACAATATGATTCAAGAAATAATTCGTATAAAAAATACAAGATAATTTAGAGACTCAGAATCTAAAACGAAGCCTAAGAGTGAAAGTATGCGTCACTCTAACAGATTCTGAACCGTATCACCCAACATCCTAGGCTACTGGTTACGATGATTGCATGACCGCAAACTGTAAACAATGTTCAGTCCAAAAGTCAATTACTTAACGAATACTGTAGCGTATGCTACTTACGTTGACATAAACAGTATGTAACATGCCAGCAGAAGATTCAATTGAAGAGAACAGAAAGTAATTGTAATAGCAAAGGAATTTAAGGAATCATGAAACATGTAAAGGACAACTGATGGAAGATGTGCAAATTATGTATTTAATGTGTGGTTTTCATATTTTATGTAAGCACTCTGCAAATTTGCACTCAGCAATAAATTGGTCTTCCCACCCAAGTTCTTATTCATTACAACACTACATCTTCATTTAACCGGTTCGAGTTTTTTTCCAACCCACTAATACACTAGCGATCATCGTGAGTCGAATTAGCAGTGGTCGGGTACACCTAATATATGTACCAACCACCTCAGTCGAGAAAAACTCACGACCTTATCAACCGAAATCTCATGTTTACCTTTTACCCAGTTTAATCTCATCCTTTTTCACTCGATAGCCTCAACTGACGCGAGAGATGCTCCGGAAACATTTATGATCAAACACAAGTAACCTATGTGTTGTTCTATGAGTGGGTACAGTAATGTCTGATTATAAACGATTTGACAGGTTCTTCTAATAAGAAACGAGACTTATGAAAACTGGGTAGATTTAACAATCGATACATAACACTTCGATGACAATCCGCTGAGTAATTTGCTAACACCTCTTATCTAACGCTATGTAATGCCATAACTTCTATTTTTTAAAGGACACGTTTTAGTCTAAAAAACGAAGTGACGAGCAGTAAACCCATCCTTCTGTTGACAGACGGATATTTCATCTACAACACAATCGAGGTGATTTAGTCGAAGCCAAGCGAGCATGCTGAGTGAGTTGAGATTTCACCAACACTCCAGAGATGATGAGACTAACAAGATAACTTGTTTTCAATTAAATATACAAACCGACACAGTTCAACTATGAAACTTAAATCTACACTTAGCTCTAGGTTATACAAGAAATGTTTCTATTAACATTAATTCCTTGATTAATTAATACTTATAACTTAAAGTGATGAGATATTCTGGAGAACATGATCACGTACCTTTAGCCCAGGTTTCTACAAAGAAGTGGATTTATTTTTGCTTAACCATGTTGCTGACAGTGAAGAGGTATGCGATGTTTCAAAATATACCCCTCCAAAAAATTCGTTTATAAAAGTATACTGAAATTAATCTTACGGTTAATGTATGCAGATGGGATCCCTTAAATGCGTCAACCAGACGAATATGAGTTCCGTTGGTCGTTATTAAGAGAGCCTTTCCATCAGAGGAAAATTGTAAACCGGTCCAAATGCATCCACTTGTTTCCATGCCCAATTTGAACGTAGCAAATGGTCCCTTATCGAATGATCGTAGGTCGTAGAGTTTAACAGATTCGGAATTAATTCCCGCTGCAAATATCAATCCTTCTGGATCAAAAGCGGCTGTCGGTCGACCAGAAACATGCATTACACCCTTGGGGAAAAGCCGTTAAAAAATCAAAATATTATGGAGGATTTTAGAAAATATCCATGTACTTATACACTAGCCTCAAACCATTAACAAAACTTATGCACTGATGAAATGCTGGTGATTCACTAATTCAAGCCCGAATACCGCTTTTTAAAAAAATATTGCAAGTACATAAGATTTTATTAACCTCTTTCCGAATGCTTCCATCCATACAGTTACAGAGTATATAAAACAAGTGATTCTAAAAGATTAACTACTCCGTTTTTTAATCACAGTTAAATAGACAGTGCAACTGATGATGGCTTCAGTGGATTAGTTATACGAAACTACATAGTAATTCATTTGACGTCTGTCTGCACTTTGATGTTTAACTAGTTTCTATAAGCAATAAACAAATTATTTTCAGATGTTTATCAGTTATTTCTCTTTGAGTCTCTATTGCTATAGGCAAACTACAAACTTGTTAACATTTGACGAAGATCCAACAACGAATCCATAAAAATCTCACAAATTTAAACTTTCGTATCTGATAAAGACTATCTGAACAAAGTGTATACTCTTAAGTTTTAGTTACCACGTAGATGTCCACATAATAGGCCTTGAGCCATATTGTAACGGTGAGTCTACACAGCTGTCCGAATCGGAGTAGCTACCTCAAGGCTCGAATCTGCGACATACGTTTTAACAGCCGAGAGCTTTGACTATTGAGATGCCTTTCAAACCCATACTTTACCTTCTTGATGAACTAAAATATCACATAAAAGCTTTTCGGCTGGCTGTCTATGTAAAAGATGTTTCGAGGAATATGACAAATGTTGGGTAAAAACTAGTACACATATGCACAATAGCATGAAACAATCATCAGATAAACATTGTTTGCGGAGTCACAAGGCTGTAAAGTGCGAAAGGAAGCAATAAACAGTCTTCTGGTCCATCAACTAACTGACCCTCGAACATTTATTTATTTGAACGTATAAATATTGGTGCAAAGGGACACCAAATACATATGCGCCACACAAGTTACTTAATTTGTGTGTGGGCTATGATACCACCAGGGTGCCCAGACCGAAGCAGGTGATTCTCTTAGGGGACCAAACCCGGAGTCTTCGACCTAATGGTCTGATGCACAAGACAGTGCAGTCCAATCGTAGCCGGTGACCAACGATTGCAGCGAGACTATAATTTATGGACGAACCAATCAGATTTACAATAACAGGTCTTGGATTTCAGTGCGAAATTCAGTCACCCATTTGGCTAAAAAGTCTTGGCATTATAGCTGATGCCAGTTTGTGATGAGAACCTTAAATTCCTAACCATCAACTGTAGATCATAATCCTTAGTCTTCCAACTGATTTACAACCCACATTTAGCTATAGTAAGTAGGTAGACACTCTCAAGGTCACTTTAGCGTCGCTCAAAGGTTGTCCATAAATTAGTCTCACCAGGATTGCATTATATGCCATTTGTTCGCTCAGGATACTGGAGCCCATAGTTTGGAATCAGAGTTTTCCAACTCACCCAGGTGGATTCTCCGTGTCTACTAACCAGGTTAAAGCGTCGGACATTCGCTTTTCGTCCTTCCAATTTCGTAAACAACACCTAGCGCAATGAGAAGGCAGTGAGTAGGACTTCCCTAGCAGTGGCTGCATATGCTTGGCCGTGTGAGAGCATTGTGAGAAGAAGAGCTGACTCTTACCACCCTCGGCTGTACCAGGGCATTTAGGGGCTTCCAGGGTAATCTAGTCGTCAGTAATGAGGATAGGAGGTCTATCGACCTATATTAATCCAATAATATTTTTTTAATCAAGATGTGAAACCATCCGATCTCCCAATTTTGGGGAAATCGCCATAGAAAACTTTGGGAAATGGCACCGAGACCCCGGAATCTTATTACACTTTGGGGGAAATTGTCTGTATTTGTTTATGAAACCGCGAAATTTTGCGCAACTTCGGTGAAATTATCCAAAATGACTCGTTTTAACGCAATATCTCCCCACGTTTTATTGACAGATATCACGGAAAAACCTGGATGTTGGAACCTGTAACTGAAAGCCTCAAGATCATTCTAAAAGCAGAACCTATGGAGTTTTCGTTGCTTGAACATTAAGCATGATATGAACGAAGGATAACAATAAAACGACGGCAGATAAAGTTCGATACGAAGCAAAACATACATGGCAGTTGGGTGACCTCAAATCCCACAAGCGAATAGTACTGTCCATTGAACCAGACAGGAAGGTGTCATCAATAGGTGACATACACAAAGAAACGACCCTGTGTATACGAACGTTAATTCTATTAGCTTACCTTTTAGTGTGACTCTGGAAGTACCTGATGTACTTGTTGTCATGCAAAGAAAGATAACGTATTGTATCTTGGGAATGTTAGCATCAAAACTTAATTACCATCAATCTTTGTAGAAGCGTGAATTGCAGTCGTCGGACTGTGAGTGAATTGTATCAAGTTTACTCCATATTTCTTGCTGTTCAGTGTACGTTTAGGTCTATGGTCAAATATGAGGACATGATAAACGTGATAATTACGTTCCGCTAGAACAATCGTAAGTCACCATCTGATCATCATCACTGCTAGAAATAAGCGTCTCACCATTACTCGAATAACTGAGGGAGTTGATACGGTCTGAATTTTCTTTAAAATATTTCACAGGTTTAAAAGTTCGGATGGTAGAATCAGTCAACTTCATTCGTCCCCAACACAATATAAAAGGTAATGCTTCAAGGGTATCGTCTACTGATGGAGGTTGCTGTGCACTTGAAGGTCAAGCTGTTGTAAAACGATTGGTGCGTCACCTCGACAATTCGGGCAACGCTCCAGGGGTATCGCGACACTTTTCGCGCTACTTTTTCATTTCTGCTTTGTGCACTGCTAAAATTTGAAATTAATTAAAAATAAATATGAAAGTTTATTTTCGGTTTTCACAATTAAGTGAAAAGGGGTTTTTCTATTTTGCGTTACATAGTATCACGAAGTCCTTGAAAATTCATTAACAGATGCTGCTATAATAGTTTTTTCGTATTTGCATCGCAGACTAGCAATTATTTCTACTTAACTATACACTAAGGGCAGACAAATAATTTATTTTCATATGAAATGACATGATCCAAGCATATATCGTCATAAAATTGTATTGTCGTCAAGGCTACCGAAATTGCTCTACAAGTAACGATACCATGATAATATTTATCGTTTTTCCGTTCTTTATTACAATTTTGGCTGATTTTCACTGTTTTTTCCGACTTTTATGGCAGGCATAGGCTAATAGTGAAAATACTATCTGTAATTAGGGTTCTAAATATTATGTATATGCTGTAGATGGTTATAAAACATACCAAGATGTTAATATCACCTTCTACAGTTAGATATATAAGCCACCAAATCACTATATTGCAGGAACGCACTGTAAAATGTTATCGACAATTTTAGTGTCTACCACGAGACAATATGGAAAATAGGCATTCTAAATTTAACGCGGAGAAATATAGAAGAATGGAGAAAGACAGAGAACAATGAATAGGAACTAATCCGAGTTGATCGGATGGCATGGCTCGGCCATTTAGGTGTGGTCCCTGCTGAATGTTACCTTGTATCTTTTATTCATATTAAATATATTGTTCCATTTCTAACCTAAGATTGTTCTCTATTTTACTTACTTAATTACTTACTCCTGTTCCTCCCAATGGAGCATAGGCTGCCGGCCCACATTCTCCAACTCACTCTGTCCTGGGCCTTCTTTTCTAGTTCCATCCAATTCTTGTTCATTTTTCTCATGTCTAGCTCCATTTCCCGGCGCAATGTGTTCTTTGGTCTCCCTCTACTCCTTCGACCTTGAGGATTCCATATGAGGGCTTGTCTTGTGACGCAGTTCGGTGCTTTCCTCAATGTGTGTCCTATCCACTTCCAGCGCTTCTTCCTGATTTCTTCCTCCACTGGGATCTGATTTGTTCTCTCCCACAGTAGGTTGTTGCTTATAGTGTCCGGCCAGCGGATCTGAAGTATTTTGCGTAGACAACTGTTAATAAACACCTGTATCTTTTGGACGATGGATTTCGTAGTTTTCCAGGTTTCCGCGCCATACAGTAGAACTGTCTTGACATTTGTATTGAAAATTCTGACTTTGGTGTTGGTTGACAATTGTTTTGAGTTCCAGATATTCTTCAGTTGTAGATATGCTGCTCTTGCTTTGCCAATCCGTGCCTTCACATCTGCATCAGATCCACCGTGTTCATCGATGATACTGCCCAAATATGTAAAGGTTTTTACATCTTCCAAAGCTTCTCCGTCAATTATGATTGGATTGGTACATGTTGTGTTGTATCGAAGAATCTTGCTTTTCCCTTTGTGTATATTGAGACCTATTGCTGCTGAGGCTGCAGCTACACTGGTTGTCTTCTCCTGCATTTGTTGTTGTGTATGCGATAGAAGAGCCAGATCATCTGCAAAGTCTAGATCATCCAATTGCATCCTAGCTATCCACTGTATCCCGTGCTTCCCTTCATATGTTGATGTCTTCATGATCCAGTCGATCACCGGGAGAAAGAGAAAGGGTGACAGTGAACAACCTTGCCTGACACCGGTCTTTACTTCGAACGACTTTGTCAACTGTCCTCCATGAACCATTTTGCAGTTTAATCCATCATAGGAATTCTGTATGATATTGACTATCTTCTGAGGCACGCCGTAGTGTCGAAGAAGCTTCCATAGGGTTGTTCCTATTCATACTATCATATGCTTTCTCATAGTTAATGAGGTTGATGTGGAGTGATAAATTGCATTCAACTGACTGTTCCACAATGATCCGTAGAGTTGCGATTTGGTCTGTGCACGATCTATCCTTACGGAATCCTGCCTGTTGGTCTCAAAGTTTGGCATCTACAGAGTCCTTCATTTTGTTTAACAATACCCTGTTGAAGACTTTTTCTGGTATTGAGAGAAGAGCGATGCCTCTGTAGTTCTCACACGTGCTGAGATCGCCTTTCTTTGGTATTTCGACCACAAATCCTTCTTTCCAGTCTCTTGGTAAATGTTTCTCGTCCCAAATCTTATTGAAGAGAATGTGGAGTATATTTTTGTTCACCGCCATGTCTGCTTCAAGTGATTTTGCTGGAATGTTGTCTGGTCTCTCTGATTTGCCGCTCTTCATTTGTCTGATGGCCATGCTGATCTCTTCGACCGTTGGTGGGTGATACTTCGATGTTGGGTGGGTTCAGTTGAGCTGTTTGATTTAAGAGTTCTTTGAAGTGTTCTACCCACCAGTTTCGTTGTTCTTCAAAGTTGGTGATTATCTTTCCTTCCTTGCTTTTCACTGGTCGTTCCGGTTTACTGTGATTTCCGGAGAGTTTCTTTCATGTATCATACAGTTGTCTCATGTTCCCTTCTCTTGCAGGCTTTTCTGCCGTCATTGCTAAATCTTCCACATACTTACATTTGTCGGTTCTGATGCTTCTCTTCACTTGCTTGTTTACTTCTGTGTATTCAGCTTGTGCCTTGGCATATATATATATATATAAACAGTTGCAAAAATAATATTCTTTTATTCTTTCTACATTATATTAATTGCACATAATTGTATCATAAAACACAATATATTGAAGAAATAAGGAAGATCTAATATCTCAATCACATGCAAACAGAGAAATTGAAATTATTCTAAATATAATTGATAATACCCCAAGATATTAAATAATAAGATTTTGTTAATATATGAGAAAATCCAATGGTTGAGTATAATTTATATTGGTGATTGGCTATTTTTTTAAAAAAAACAAACAAAACTCTAACTAAAATATTTTAAGAAATAATAATTTTCTTCACAGTAAAATTCTTTGGTTAATTTAATCTGTATTTTTGTCTAAATCGTCTAATATTGTGAGGGATATATTTTCTAAGTTTTCTTTTCAAATCAGTTCATTAATGTGTATGTGCAACTTCCTACGTTTAGTCAATTATTAAAAAAAAATGAATATTTGCAACTATTTGTAATTGTGTAACTTTACATACTTACTTACGCATGTTACTCTCAACGGAGCATAGGCCGCCGACAAACATTCTCCAATCCACTCTGTCCTGAGCCTTCTTTTCTAGTCCCATCCATTTCTTTTTCATTTTTCTCATGTCTATCTCCATTTCCCGGCGTAATGTGTTCTTTGGTCTTCCTCTTTTCCTTTGGCCTTCAGGATTCCATGTGAGGACTTGTCTCGTGACGCCATTGGGTGCTTTCCTCAATGTGTATCCTATCCACTTCCAGAGCTTCTTCCTGATTTTTTCCTCCGCTGGAATCTGGTTTGTTCTCTCCCATAGTAGGTTCTTGCTCATAGTGTCTGGCCAACGGATCTGAATTATTTTGAGTAGACAACTGTTAATAAACACCCTTATCTGCTGGATGATGGCTTTTGGATGCAAAGATCAGGTTTGTGAACATGGATTGCACATTGCGAAAGCCATCGCAATCCATGTTCACAAACCTGACCTTTGCATTCAAAAGAAATTTGTTCAACCACTTTCGCTGGCTTGGCCATCTGTATAAGATTCCCTTCAACAGAACTATTTTCCATACTTCTCACACTTGGGTTTTTTAATTTTTAATCTTGTTTTTTTTAACTTTATAATTTCTCAACATTCATCTCTTGATTCTTACGTAACTACTATTCTATTGACCATCCATTACAAATTCTGTTCCTTCTCTTTTTCATACAATATGCAACGTAGCAACTTCTTGATTTAATAATTACTCTGAATATTAATAATCATCTTTCTTCCAAACTACTAGATGTTAATTTAAATGTCATTATGTAATTATTACGTAACGTATCCACACTCAATGAGTATTATATCATTATTGTAAATCATATATATATTAATGCAGAGCCATGATCAAAAACTAATTGAAAAGAAATTTCTTCGCTCAATTCGTTCCTTCTATACTTACATTTGTCGGTTCTGGTGCTCCTCTTCACTTGCTTGTTTACTTCTGTGTATTCAGCTTGTGCCTTGGCTTTTTCTGCTCTTGTCCGGCCAATTTTGATTGCTGCCTTCTTATTCCTTCTTTCTTGGATCTTATCCAGTGTATCAACAGTGATCCATTCCTTGTGATAGTGCTTGTTGTGTCACAAGACCTCATGATATGTTGAACTGATTGCCTCCTTCATCCATTTTCCCGTTGTTTCCCATAACAGTTAACTCTTCATTAAGTAGATCATGAAAGGCCTGGAACTTATTGATGAGGGCTATCTTGAATTTGTTGAGTTTGTCAGTATCCCGAAGAAGAGCCGTACTAAACCTTTGTGATATTGTCCGCCCCATTGTCCAGTGCTTCTTGAGTTTCAATTTCATCTTGGCGACCAGCAAGTGATGATCTTATGTTATATCAGCTTCTCTCTTGGTTCTCACGTCCTCCATCGTCCTCCTGAACCTTTTGTTGATGCAGATATGGTTGATCTAGTTCTATATAGTGTGGTCCGGTGAAGTCCATGTGGTTTTGTGAATGCGTTTATGTGGGAATGTAGTGCCGCCTATCGCCAGTTTATTGAAGGTTTGCGAATCTCTCACCATTTTCGTTCCTTTCTCCCAGTCCATGTCGTCCCATGATGTCTTCATATCCGGTTTTGTCCATTCCAACTTTGGCATTTAAATCTCCCATCAGAATGGTCAGGTCCTTTGTTGAGCACTTCTCGACGATTGACTGCAGCCTATCGTAGAATTAGTCTTTAGCGTCTTCATTGTAGTCGTTGGTAGGCCCATAGCATTGGATGACGTTCATTGTAATACCCTCTTTTTTGTTTTGAAGGAGGCTTTGATGCAACTCCTTGTATATGTGGGGGATTTTCTTCATCGTGGCCGGAGTATAACAAC